TATCACAGGTTCGGTGCCTGTCTATTTTTATTCTACGAGAGGACTGACAAGCATCGCGGTCATTTTGTGGTAATAGAAATACCCCAGCCGTATAACATCTACCTACTTTGGTTTTAGATATTCGGAAGTCAGTCTGAAACTGACACGCGATTAAACTCACTCTTTTTCTAAGACTGGTGGTTCGTTACCCGGACGAAATTTTTATGTACCTACTACCCCTTTAATATCCAGATTTCCAGCCGAAGTCCCACAGTTTTCAGAAAAATTATAAATTGACTAGAAAAATATTCAACCCGGAATGGAATTCGAACCCACGACCCGTTAATTGTAAGCGACACATCGCTACCATTACACCAACGAGCGCGTCACAAAGCCCCTTTACACAATATTATTTGAAAACTTAACTTACATTACATTTGGAACAAAAATTGTATAATACATAATTACATGTTATTTAAAGAACGAATTGGATTATTTTATTTCAGATAACTTTACGCATAAGTCAGTAAAAATAATTTATAATACACAACGATTAAAACTACAGACTGAACGATTATTATCATTATTGTTCTGGCTTCATTACTGTTTATAATAAGACTTTACAATTATTATTATGTTCTCCGTCATAACATTACGCAGATAACGAATATAAATTTAAAAATCACGCATTACTTTCATGGACAATATCGCATCGCCCAATGTACTGGAACGCATTGAATCACAAATCGTTCTTATGTTTTAAAAAAATCTCTCGATTTATGGCATCATAGACATTTGTCCCCAGCCGTGACGAATTTGTTCAATTTTTATTTTACCCCAATTCACATAAATTGCGCATGCAATAAAATGCGTTTCAGCTTTCCGTTATGCACAATGCGGACTCTGAATGCAATTTGTACAGATTAAAAATTGTAAATGTTGCATATGATTTAAGTATTTGATTCCTAATGTACTTCCTAACTTACTTTCAAAGGGCAACTGTAAACAAGAATAAGCATTTTATGAGTCCGCTAGAGGCAGAGTAGCCTATCTACAATTTATCCCTACGTTAAATCTACAAGAGCACAGTGACCGATAATTATAAACATAATGTTTACACAAATAATAGTACAAATTCATGTTCGAGTAAGTTAATTGCGCATTTTTATTTTTCTTACTGAAAATCATGTAGTTTTTCATTAGGCCACTCTGGCCCTGGCAGCCTCATATAAAGTTTATATTTCTTATATGTTTTTTATATTTTTAACAAATGAACTTTGTGTGTATTATTAGGTACACCAGAAATAACTAGATACCTGCTACAGTAGGGATTCTAGTGTAAGGGCTAGTACAAGTAAATAATAATTTGTGTACAAAATGTAATATACAGACATTTTTCCAAATATTCAAAGCCAAAATAAGTCGACAGCACATCTTGTTTAGATGTTTTATGGCTGGTGTATTTCAACTAACTGTTCTGTCCTCTATCATAAAAAAAATAGTTGTATATATATAGGTATGCTTCAATTAGGAAAGTATAAATAACAATCCCAATTTTTCGTAGAAATACAGTTTAATGTGAAGAATTATGTTGTCTTCGTGTTATATGTTAAACAGTTTTAAACTTTGAGTAGAAACAATACGAAATCTCTCTGAAAAAACACCACAATACCTACTGAAAGATATTTGTAGATACTCTGTCAATGTTTATATTTAGGACTTAAGCTTATGAGCATACAACTTTCAGTGTTATTATAGCTATTAATGTGTTATTCTGCGGTAAGATAAGACGTCTGCATTAACACAGAAATGGGTACTATCTGAAACTGAAACGGATCTCTTTCGGTTTAATGGGTGATATTTTTTGGGCTGTGTCAAAGGTTAAGAGCGACCAGTCTGCGTCCTGCACAGATAAAGAATTTCGTGTGTAAGATGAAACATTCTATTCTTGGATAGTCTGGAAATTCGGTACAGTTCGGCGGGAAAGTGAGTTAGAGAACAAGAATACAAATGTAGCCACAGAGTAAATCTATTTTATTGCTAATCAAGAATTGATTTAATTATACTTTGACATATTTAAATGTGACACTTGAAGTTAACTAAAATTTACACCCTATTTTTTTTGCAATAAAAAAATGTAAAAAGTTTATAATTAATATTAATTTCCTCCTTACATTTACCTCGATGTAGCATGTAATATAACCTGAAGCTTAATAAATTAAATTAATTGTAGAGTCAAAGTTAATAGTGCTAATGTGCTTGGCAGAAATTAATCATATATTAATTTTGTGCACAAGCGTCCATGATCGGTTTATTCTTGGCGAGTGCACGTGAAATAAATCCTGTTCGAGATCGCAAGCGCGTTTGAGATTACCTTTGCTTTACTTTTATTTACATTTTTAGGGAACGCACGCGCAAACGTTGTCAATACCATATTTTATATAGCATAAACATACTCTTATTGTAAAAATAGAATATAATCTAAATCTTAAACATTTTTTTTTAATTTTATATGTCATCATCATAATAACTATATGTAATTCAAGTCATCTGTATTTGCCCTAATGCAGATGCTATGTTTATTTCGGACATTTTCACAAAATGCACAAAAAAATATGAAAAGTTACTTCTAGCGTTTGCTTACTAATATAACTAATTACTTAGTAATTGCAATTTATGAAAGATTATTACAATATTATACATACATTCTGCCGTATCTTAAAGCTTTGGTAAGGGCTGCGTAACCTAAAAAAAGTACGACATCATACTTAGTAAAGTTTTAAAAACAAACAACGCTTCTTAAAAACACAAAACAGTTAAAATTACGTCAATCAACTATTCCCTATTTCGTTCGCGACGCATATATCCTAAAAGTAGATAAAATAAATCCGACAAAAACTATTCCCTCGCGTCGCCGAAATGGGTGGAAGTGATGTGTATACGACACTTCATTTGCTCCACATCAACCGAACTAATATCGAACATCGCACAACTCAACGGACCACGAAAATAAACAAATTCCACAAAAAACATTCCCCACAATTAAAAAAAAGTCCAAAGTTATTTCGATTTCCATAAATACTCGAGGTGCCACCGTTTTTTGAGATATATCTTCCTGGCGACTTTTTACAAGACGTGGTGATGCGCGGTATCGATTGTGGCATGATCGTCGATGAATAATATGCATTTTTATTAACTTGGATCCCACAACCACTACTACCGTGTGCGACTCAGTAGCTGAATTGGTTAGAGCTACAGCACTAAACGCTGATGATGCCGGGTCCTACCCGAGTCGATTTTTTTTATATTTTAATTATTAGGCCATCATTCAATAAATGTAAAATATATTAAAGTATCAAACTGGATCCTTGGCAATTTCATTGAAAATAATATCGACACACGACAATTACCAAAAAACGGGCAATGACATTTTAAATTCGTTCTTTAAAGCTACCAACTTTTAAACAACTTTTTTCGTCCTAAATGGGTGGATGTGATCCAAAGTTAAAGTAAATCAAAAGCATTATTAAAAAGTACCTTATTGTAATCTTGGTTTTAAATAAAAGACTTTAACGGTTTAAAACGCGATATATGGTATACGCGATAACGGGGAGACCCTGTCATCCTAATATATATCGCATTTTAAACCATTCAAATGTTATATTTAGAAGTTATACTCGGTAAACTACAGGTAGTATTTAGTATTTAATTGACCTTGTTTTCTTTAACGCAACTTTAGTTCAAAAATGATGGCCGTGCTGAAGTAAGAATTTCTATCGTCGATATCGATAAATACCGCCATCCCTATTAGAATGCTTTACAGCGCACACATTGTATTTGGTTTTCAAATCCACGCGCGCGTTACTGTCTACATAAATTGTGAACTCACAACTTCCGACCTAAATTATTGTCTTTCCTAATTATATTATGTTCACATTTAGCCAATTGATAGAATATCTATATTAAACGCTTAGCGACACACGTCGAATTACTATTAAATTAATTAAAATGAAAAAAAATTAAAGACTAGGGCAGGATTTTAACCGGCATCCACAGCATTCTATGCTGATGCTGCTCTAACCAACTGAGCTACCGAGTCCTTTTTATATATATTACTTAAACCTACGCGTTAATACGCGCGTTACATAAACCAATGTAATATGTTTTATTTAACACATTTACTAATGACTAAGATACTAGTTACACAGTAGACACACACACACATTAGAAAGCAGAAGATTAGAATGTCATACTATAATTACTGTTTTTAATAACTTATAACGTAAGAAGCAAATATCATATACAACTAATTTATGATTACGTGCATGGTGTTTAAAGTACCCCTTTAGTCCAACGTTTATTTAAATAAAAGAGGTCAGCTTTGGTCACTTATCTCATTGAGATGCAAGATGCTGCCTCGCGTGGACAAAGTGTGTCTGATGTTGTAATATATTCTTTTGATAAACAGGTTAAGAAGCCACGTGCTTATGGAACTGTAATAACGATTAAAATATCATCAATCAATCGTCTCTATGATAAAAATAAATTGACAAAAAACGTAAAGACATCTCAACTTCGAGCGATTATTCGTAGATCGATTATTGGATGATGTCAAAAGTTTATACAAAAGTAAACATTTATTAAATAAAAATAAATTTAAACAAAAAATACATTTAATTTCAATAAATTTTATACAAACGTGATTGTAATATTATTAAAATTTTATCAAGTGCTATCAAATGAGTCTAGAATATTTTATCTTATAATCTGCAATTTCCAAAATTCGGTAAGCCTAAGATGTTTTTGTTATTTCCATAAATATCCTGTATGGTTAAGACCTGAAGACCTGAATTATTCTTAATCGGAATTGTAGTCAAATAACAATCAAACGACAACGTCCTCGATGACTATTGTAATAATTGCGCTACTGAAAGTTCACTGCGCAACAAATATGCATTCCATATATTCCCACAAAGGTCAAAATCAGCTCAAAAGATTAATGACACAGACAAGTGTCCAAAATGAGCCCGGTTCTCAAGCAAACCCAACGGCCGCCATTCGTCAATATTCAAGAAATTCCACTTTCGCGAGGCATAGCAAAAATCGCGCCATTATCCGCGGAAACACAATGGCGGACACAAGCATCAATTATAAATTCTGGACGCGGACTTATCATAGACGCATTGTCCGGCAAAGGTCAGTTCTTGACCCGTGAGAAAAGATTGGAAAAAATTTAAAATCGCGACCCTAAAATTTGAATATCCCCTAAGAAAACATGCTCATTGTTAGATCCGGTCTGTCGGCTTTTGTGTGCAAATAATTTATTCTGTCGCATGTGGTGTTGCTGTGTCATCGTATTATTATTCGAGGGGGGCAGGTGGACGTAAACAGTACTGACCTTCGCTTGCTCTTAATTAGTTAATGATCACGCCGTGGACACGGAAATCAGGTTTGTCAACCCGTTGCGGCTACTCCATCGAAACGGTTGAATAATATTGCTATATGTAACGAAAATATTCACTAACAGCCAACACTGTTTGTAAGCCAAAAATAAATTAAATTATAATTAATAATGGTAAATTTTACATCAAACAATAACAAATGTGAATAAATACACAAACAACGGCCTCACTCTATCATAAACTACAGTTGATAAAAAAGATTTAATAAAATATTAATTAGTAATTATATATTTTTATGATAGAGAGAGATAGGTAAGCACGGGGTTTACCTGGAGATAGGAGTAGGTACTTACTCCAGCCATATACAATCTGAACAAGATACGCTGTCAACTTATTTTGGCTTTGGTTAATCGGAAACCGAAACGCGATTACACTCGACGGCCTTTTCATGTGTGGAAGGTTTTCGTGACTCGGACGAATTTTCGATATTCTACCACCCAATTAATGTCTAGTTTTCCAGACGAAGTCCAACATGTTTCAGAAAAATTATGAATTGATTAGAAAAATGTTGAACTCTTTGGGAACTGAACCTACGACCCGTTGATTCTTAGTCATACATTGCTATGATTACACAAACGAGCCCGTGAAATTATCGCATTCCAGTTATAGATTTATTATGACATTAATAAAATATATATATATATATATACATACTCTTGAATTTCTATTAGTATACACGTATTTTATAGTAATTTTTAGCAAATAAATAATACACCAATAGTTTATAAACTATACCTACCTACTTTTCTATAATGGTATAGATAGTTTATTTTACAGAAGGGCAACTAGCAAACAATTTTATATATTCCCTTCCATTACGGGTTTTCCCAAAAAAGGGAAATTTACTCGAAGGGTCATCAATCAATACAGATTATTGGATTCACTAAGTCTTGTGTAGAGCAGTCGATATTTATACGTTGTGGGGAAAATGTTATTCAAAAGGGTTTAAAATTCGTACTTCCTGAATTTTGAAGCAATGGTTCTTCAATAACGTAGTAGTGTCATTTGTAAGTAGATATTAGTTTAAATAAACGTTTTGAATTGTTATCAATAACTAGATAAGATTTATTATACTTTTTACTTGTCTTTGGCTTTCCTTATTGTCCGCTCTGTTTTTTTTATCTGTTAGCTTTCATTGAAATATTAATAATAAATTCTTCTATTAGTCAGTCAGTTTCGGTCGCGCAGGGCATAAAAGTCATACTTTACATTCAACAGTTAATAACTGTATCGATAAACTGCGCAATATTATAATGAAATCAAAGACAATAAATAAGCCGTTTAAAAAATGACCAAGCTTGAGAAACGATCTCTCGATAAAAGTTTACGGGTTTCGGGTAAAGGGTGGAAATCTGTCTGCCGGTAACCGTTTCCATTGTACGACGTCATTTTAATGAAGTAAAAAATTAAGAGGTTCTATTAAAACTGTCTAGTAAATAAAGGCAGATTCTAGTGAATTTCACACAACAATAATAAGTTATAAAATAAACAAGTTAATGTTATAATTAACATACTTTTGTTTAATACATTTTTAAGACGTTTTTTGTTTGTTATACTTTTGTTAGTGATAAAAAAACTCGCAGTGCTTGTTATCAGTTATCGAAATAGTAATCTTCTTAAGTAAAAAAGTGAGGTTTGCAAAAATTTATACTTTATCAAACTAAGAAATAGCTTGGGTTAAACATTACCCACATTTATTTAAACTATATTACACCGTAGTCATTCGACATATATATATTGTTTATATTATATGTATGTTAAAGTAGGCAAATAATAATATTAATTTTTCATCTTCTATTAACTCGTATACTTGTCAGTAGAGAGCCTGTGGTGTAAGAGTGGACACGGTGCCGCTCAAATGAAATGTGTGAAGGGTTGGCCTGAGCTGCATAAGCTGGCTCTAAACCACGCCACATCCACGCCCAGGGCTTTACTAACCCCGGATTATGGTGATTTCCATCCATGCGGTGATGCTCGTTTGTTTTTATGGCCAGATTACACCGGCGTTGGCGATCGGTTCTCTAAGAAAACTTGGCAAGGAGTTTTAAGCTTTATGGCTAACTATATAATTTGATTTGAATTAAACACTTTAAGTGTAACGGGGAGTGTCCCCGTGACCACGGCTGCTAAAAATAAGCCGAAATTAAAAATAAGTTTAACTAATATTTAACGCGTTTTAAACCGTTAAAGTGTTTTATTTAAAAGTGTACTACTCGCGTAAACTATAACAGTATTTAGCAGAGAAGGTCTGCATAAGGTGACATTTAATTAAGCAAACAATAAGTCGATATTATTCAACGCAAGCAACATTAGACCATTACTTACCGCGGACTTGATAAAAGGCATTTCGATACGCGAATGCGACTTTTCGTTATTTATAGCGAAATTATACGGAACTCGTGAGAATAGGAACTCGCGAAGGGACGCTGGACGTTCCGGGTCTGCAGACCGTTATATTTAAATGTATTTGACGAGGAAATGTTACGGGCTCCGATTTTTACAGGCGCTGATTCCATTTTTAAAGTTAGTGGAAGAGAAAATGTTACCATGAAAAAAAAGTAAATATTTGTTTAATCGTGTATTTATGCCCTTTTTTGTCCCTATGCCCCTATGTGTGCAAATATCTTGAAAACTACGCAAAGGATTTTTAGATATAGTTATTCAAGAGAAAGGTTTATAATTATGTATAATAACAACTATTAAATAATGGAGAAATACTGTTATTTTTGATGTGATGTTTTTTAATGTGATGTAAATAATTTCAATATTCCGCTTATACATTGCTAACGCAGGCTGAACCCTACAAGATTTATCTAAATAATGTAATACATATTGCACACTTTAAAAAGGTCTACAAAAAACGCCGCGATGGTATATCATCTTTTATGGTAATGCTACAATAACATTGTTTTGTCATTTACTTTTTACGACAAATAATGGATAATTTTCGGAGCGATTTTAACGAATAAAGCTTTAACCCTTATTCAATTCCACATTTACAGATTAAAAAATTGCGTGGCGTGTGTGATGTTTTTATATACAACGTTCATAGTTTTTCTGTAGAATATTTAGTATCAGCCAATGCTGAGCAAAGCCTCGTTGGTAATATTATAAAGCTGAAGAGTTTGTTTATTTATGTGTCCCTGACGGTATACTATTTTTTTAAGATTAATTTGCAAGAATGAAGGGACGCGGTCGACATCGTGCGTAACAGCTAAAATTTATAAAGAACAGGAGGACGTTTGCAAAAACAAATTGTAATGCCCAAAATAACTACTCTACGTGGATGAATTCGCTGGCACAACTAGTTAAAGTAAAAAAAAAAAAAAATTTTTGCAAGCAGTAAATACGCTAAAGTATAAATTTCGTCGTAAAATATTTGGTCGCAAAAGAATGCGACAAGTCATATTAAAATGAGGTAAAGATATTTCGTCAATATTACCCCCATCCATCAAATTTGCCCTCTCCGAGTCTGGGGGAGGCTGTTGACAAAAAATTTACGAGATTAATATTTACAAAGACCTCAATAACTTTGGCCTCTTGGAGCTGTTTAATTTTTATATATAAGTAGTGCGTACAATTTTGGTTACTATTATTCGGATTAACCATTGGAACATTTTAAATACAACACTTTAACGGTTTAAAACGCTATATATATTAGTAAAACTTATTTGAAAATTATTTTAACTACGGCCCTACGTACTTATTTGTTATTTTGACATCATAGACACCCTTCATCTTTAGTCTCCCCGTGACCACGGCTGCTGCAAAGAATTTGAAACGTCGCACAATTGTTAAAATAATTATGAAATAATTACAACGAATATATATCGCGTTTTAAACCGTTAAAGTGTTTTATTTAAATGTGTACTACTCGCGTAAACTACAGACAGTATTTCATTGTTTAAGAAATAATGAAAGAGGGTGGTGAACCTGAAAACTAGAACTATTATAACTATTTTAAACAGATTTGTAGTAATTTTTTTAATAAGAATAAGAACTTACAAATCGAAGTGGACAGATGTTCGTTTAAAAAGCTCTATTTATGTAAAAGGCGTGAGAGTTGCCCGTTACAAAAATAGAGCTTGTTAGTGGTCAACCGTTTTTTTCTCAACAAAGACTGGGCAAATTTGTATAACACTCCGCGAGTGGTTGAGAAAACGTTTTTTTGTGCTTTTACGAGATTAAATATTTATGGCAAGACACAATGGCTTCCGGGCTGGTGCAAAAAAGACGTCACTTTTTTGGTTTTAAGGTTTTGATAGGGAGTCGATTCCTAAAAAAATTAAAACATTTAGGTGTACTTAATTTATACGGAACTCCAAAATTTCCTCCTTCAATTAATGATAAATATCATTCTTAAGATTTTTATATAGTTAATAATTAAAGGGTAATGAGTTGTTTTTATATAAAATAAAATAATACGAATAAGACTTATGTTAAAGTTAATATAATTGTCATAGAAGCCTTGTGTTTGGTTATTCGTTGCTATAACTATTTTCTCCTTAAGTGTCCTTAGTCCTTATAACTTCAACTGAATATTCTATGATTAAATTACGTTAATACATAAAATTTCTTGAATAAGACGCATTTTAAGATCTACTCTGCGATCCAAAACTTACGATAAGCCGGCATCCCATACGCACACGACAAGTAAAGGTGCAAGCTACATTGTCCATCATTGCAACACCGGCTCCAAATATAATTGCCCTTGCCCCTCGTAGTAAAAAAAAACGGTATTCAAAACACATGTCACTTATCGATTTATCGCGAAACGAAATGTCCTTTTTCGTGAAATCCCTTATTAGTTAAGCGTGAACTCGGCGACAGTTCCCATGACGAGTGAATTAAATTTTTTCCAAATTATTCAAAAGAATTCGGACGACATTTCATTGTGGAGAATTCGGAAGTGAGACGGATCAGTTCCGTTATGGACGGACATTTATTGCGTGTCTCAATTGTTGGGATATACTTGTAACGGAGGAGTTTTTTTCTTGAACAAGATTCGAAATTACGCTTTAAATAACTGTTTCACTGCTAAAGCACTAAAGATAGAACATGAGAATGTTTAAAACTAATAAAAAAGAAAATAAATGCGTAAGTATTTGATGTGCTTTCAGAACATACTAATTTGGTTATGATGAGACGAAACATAGCTTCTATTACACAATTTTAATAATTTAATTTTTTATCCTTATTTTCGTGTAAAATGTTATTTATATATCTATATAAGTATCACCAAACCACATGGAAGATCTGAGTGGAAATGATGGTGAATATATTTATTAACTTGATTATTTTCATCATTATCATTCATTACTTTTATTATTTAATTTATGACTGAGCAAAAATATCTAATAATCTGTCATGACATTATAAGATATTTTTTGTTGATTAATATAGGATTTATTATATTTGATTCACAGACTATGTTATTTGTTATTGACGTTGTTTGTATTATAAAATATATATATATTTTTTTTATCTTTGTCGGTCAATGTCCTTAATCTCTACTGTTTTATTGACACTCTGTCAAAAATAACCGTTAACATAGATGATTTTTTTCGTCAAAATAATTGGGTGAAAAAGACCCCATAAATAATAGAGTCGATGGGGTGCTCGGACTCTGATTACGACGGTAACAAAAGTCTAGATGTGGCTGATAACCTAGCCACAATAGATGGGTGTATTACACCCCCGGGTGTGTTAGGGTTGGCACCGCGTTTTTTTTAAAGCTAAAGCTTTAAAAATAGGTAAGTTATAGCTCGTCTATTTCGAAATTCAAATAGAAGTTTTACATTATTTTCAGTTCAAGAAACAACAAAAGATTAGAATTGTAATAACTTTTATTCCTAATTTGGCCTTACCGAGGCTATGCTTACCCAGGTAACCTTGCCAAAGTGACAATAAATAAAAAAAAACAATTATTTTGCGATGATTTAATACAGTTATTTCTCTAGCATTTAAAACTGTGATCTATATAAATGATAGGTTTAATTTGATTGTAAATGTTTTTATGTGCTTTTACCGACCCTAACTAAATTCAATGGAAACCCACGCATTGAGTGGCATAATAACTGACGACCTGATCATAGATAAACTATTAATTTCACTCAAGTATCCGCGTGGTGAAACCAAATTTCAAAATGCTATGTTATATGGTTTTCAGAAGGAACTCTACATATGAATAGTAGAATGTTTAAAACATCTTAACTTTCTTTCCTACTTTTATAATTTGTAAACACTTCATTTATTAATAATAGAGGAAGTCACTTTATGGTAGCCATATAACAACTAAACAAGATGCGCTATGGACCTGTTTCGGTCTAGGATATTCGAATTTTCATTTCACTACTGGTTTTTAATGGTTCCTAGATATTTTATTTTTAAACCTACGTTTGCTATTTAATCAGGGTAGGTAATAGAATTTGACAATATCATAGAACAATGAATATGGGATGGTCGAGAATACTTACGAAAGAAAAGTTTTAAAAGCATTAATGATTAATGATGAAGACTTTTGCATTATTTCATTTATGTATTAAATTAAAGTTTCATATTTAAAGGGTTCGTTGACGCGTACCAATGTATGGCTAATAATCAATGGGTCACGGGTTCGATCCCTACCGGTTCTAAGATTTTCTGATTAATTTATAATTTTTCTGAAACATGTTGGATTTCGTCTGGAATTTAAATATTATATGAGGTGGCAGGAATATTAAAATTCCGTCCGAGTCACGAACCATCGTCCACCGATGAAAAAGCCGTGAAGTTTAATGACGTTTCCGTTTCAATCTGTGGATTTGCAAAATTACTAAGTCAAAATACGTCAAGAGCGCATCTGGTTGAGATGTTATATGGCTGGACTATAACACCTTTTATGAAGTCCTTGTCCTCCTCTTTTAAACTTTTACTTTGTCAGTTATATTTTTTTACATCGTCATATAATACGCGCGTAATAGCGTTCGTTTATAAACAGCCTTATAGAAATGGATATGGTATTGTAGTCATACAAATATTGTTTTGTATTCTAATTCATTGTAAGCTTGTGATTGGGGTAGTATGCCCTTGAGG